AATTTGGAGCTCTTTCATTGGGAGTGTAGATATTTATTATGGTTATGTCATCTTGTTCAACTGTCCCTTTAATCATGAGATAATGCTCATCTTTATTTATTATGCTGGTTTTTGCCTTAAAGTTTATTTTATCAGAGATTAGTACTGCCACTCCTGTTTGTTTTTTATTGCAATTAGCTTGGTATATTTATTTTTTCTCTGTGTGTGAGATGTGTCTCTTGCGGACAGCATATTGAAGGATCTTGTTTTCTTATTCATTCTGCCACCCTCCATATCTTAACTGGTGCATTTAATCCATTTACATTCTTTGTAATTATCGATAGGTATTGATTATAAAGTGGAGGGCATGTTGCACACACACACACACACACACACACAAATGTGGTGTTGCTGCTTTCTTTGTTCTGTATGTCTTCCTTTGCCGAGTTCATGCTTTTTGTGATCTTTCTTATGAGTTTCCTCATAGTTTTAATGCTTCCATGTTCTTCTTGGATTTTCGTTTTCTTGGTATGTTGTGAAGTGTTAATTTTCTTTGAGGTTACCTTATAGTCCATTAACTTTTCCTTCCATTTAGTGCAGTCTCCAATTCTATTCTTTTCTATGAGTTCACTATGAGTTGGAATTGACTCGATAGCAGTGGGTTTTTAGTTTAAATTTGTGAGAGTTCTTTTCAGTCACCTCTCCCTGAATGACCAGGTGTCTCTAAGAAGCCCTAGCAGTGTAGTTAGTGGATTATGAGTTGGGCTGTTAATCACAATGCCAGTAGTTCAAATCTACCTTTTGCTCTGCAAGAGAGAGATGAGGATTTCTGCTCCCATAAAGATTTCCAGCCTTGGAAACCTGATACAGAATCGCTGTGAGTTGGATCCATTTGGGGCACGGCCACCATCACCACCTAGTGAAAAAAAAAAAAAGCCTCAATATCTTCTCTCTGAATTTTCTTTTCCTAAATCATGTTGCTGAAATTCTTCACTCTATTGCTAGTAGATTAAAGCATTTATTTGTGTAACTTCTCTAGCTATTGTCAGCAATAGAATTAATTTCTGTTACTTACTACGGATAAGTAGATCTGCTCTTTAAACTATATAACATAGAGCAGAGACAACAATAGTTATTGTTGTTGTTAGGTGCCATTGAGTCATTCTATGCACAACAGAATGAAACACTGCCCATTCCTGCACCAACCTCACAATTGTTGCTATGCCCAAGCCCATTGCTGCTGCCACTGTGCCAATCCATCTCATTGGGGGTCTTCTTTATCTTCAACCCTCCACTCTACCAAACATGATACCTTCTCCAGGGACTGGTCCCTCCTGATAATATGTCTGAAGTATGAGAGATGAAGTCTGGCCATCCTGGTTTCCAAGGAGCACTCTGGCTGTACTTCTTCCAACACAGATCTGTTTGTTCTTTTGGCAGTCCATGGTACTTTTAATAATTTCCTCCAACCCCATAACTCAAATGCATTAATTATTCTATGGTCTTACTTATTCACTGTCCAACTTTCACAAGCATATGAAGTTATTGAAAATACCATGGCTTGGATCAGGTGCATCTTAGTCCTTAAGCTGACATCTTTACTCTTGAATACTTTAAAGAGGTCTTGTGCAGCAGATTGGCCTAATGTAACACATCATTTAATTTCTTGACTACTTCTTCCATGAGTGTTGATGATTGATCTGAACAAAATGAAGTCTTTGACAATTCCAGTCTTTTCTCCATTTATCTTGATGTTATTTATTGGTCCAGTGGTGAGGATTTTTGTTTTCTTTACATTGAGATGCAACCCATATCAAATACTGTAATCTTTGATCTTCATTAGAAAGTATTTCAAGTCTTCTTGGCTTTCAGCAAGCAAAGTTGCATCAACTGCATATTGCAGGTTGTTAATGAGTCTGCCTCCAAACCTGATGCCACATTTTTCTTCATATAATAGTATGCATTACCATTGCATACAACAATAATATGTATTACCATTAAAGGATGATTTCCATTATGGTTTTCTCTGTCATTCCTAGATCAGGTATAACAAGGCAGAACTTCTAGAACATATCCCATCCATTTTCAGTGCAGTAAAACATCTCAGTTTTATTCTCACTCCCCAAGAGTCTTAGGTTTTACCTTACAAGTGTGACTGTGCCTATGTCTCAACCCCACATTCTTTCCAGGGTTGGAAGTATGGATTTGCGTTCATCAATGGGCATAACCTCGGGCGATATTGGCATATTGGACCTCAGAGGACACTTTACCTTCCCGGAGTCTGGCTTCAACCAGAAGACAATGAGGTGAGTTGCCTCCACCCTTGCCTTAATATCTCAGTTGTAGAGTATCTTTCTTATCCTATGCTGAGTAGGCTTCCCCATTTTTTCTTTCCTTTTTTCCCCCCCACAGATAAGGTCTTTTATTTGTCATCATTAAAAGTCTGAATTTTAAACAGATTCTTGAACTGGTGGTTCATAGCCATCAGCTCGTTCAACTTTAGCACCTGTCTCATCTCCAGTAGCTTTTCCAGAGCTACTGCCTTCACCATGAAGCTCCATGAGTTTTCCCAACTCAAACTTGGGCTCCTTCAGCATTTTTACTTTCCTGACAAACACATCATGAAGAGGGTAATTAGACTGGTGAGCCTTCTGTATGTTCTTTCCAATGCTGTCTGGAATCAGTTTATTGACCACTTCTTTCAAGTCATTTGCACCTCTTGGGTCATGATTTCCGTCATTTTCTTCCGGATTTGACAGACCTGTTGGTGCTGAGCATAAGATGTCTTCCTAATCTGGTTGTTGCATTTTTTAGTAAAACCAACAAAGAACAGCCCAAACAAATAACCATCTGTAGTCTTGACATCAACGTGAGCTTCAATCATGGTCTGCCATTTTTTGACCATGGAGCACATTTTGTCATGGGTAAGGTCCATGCCATGGAAGTTGGTCAGGCAGTTTTTGCCCCGAACACCCTCAGTAATTAGCTTGAAATTTCAAATTTTAACTTCATCATTCTGCAGATTAGCAAGGCTTACTTCAAAAACATGCCATCAGATAAAATTTTGGTTCTTTGAACCCTTGTGACTAGTGTTTTCTCAATATTTCTTGTACTGAATGTAGCTGGTGCCTTCACATCTTACCAATCTTTCTTAGAGAATGGATCAACCACTTTCTTCTTGGCTCCTTCTTTGCCTCCTTTTGTAAGGCGCTTATTGTTGCCGACCACCATGGTGCTGCTCACAGAGCCAAAAGATGACTTCCCCTTTCTTACTATCAACTTTTCTTTCTTTCCAGATCATCCTGTTTGAGAAAATGATGAGTGGCTCATACATTCAATTCACAGATAAGCCCATACTATAAGACTTCATTTTAACACACTCCTTGTATAGTTGGAGTTCATCTACAAGTAGTTTTTCAAGAAGAAGAGTTATGTCAAGAGTATCAAACACAGTGTTGCTTAAAGTATCAAAAATGTGAAAATAAAAAAAAATACATATAACAATAAAGGGAATCGTTATGTCAATTATGGTGGTGGTGGTGAAGTGCTGACAGGTCAACTCTGACTAATAGCAACTCTGTATAGGGTTTCTGAGGAGCGGCTGGGGAGCTTGAACTGCCAACCTTTCGGTTCAAACCAATCTTGCCATCCAATGCTTATTGTAGAGTGCCACACCAGGATTCCAATGTCAATTATAGTGTATCCATATAATGGCAATGTTTAGACCTTAGTAAGTCTTCAAAAGCTTTAATGACTTTAATGTTTTTATCTAGGTAAGGATTTACCTCTTAGCAGGTTCTTACTCTGTAAGCAAATGTGATTTTAGGCATATGTGAATAAAATAAAAACAAACTTTTAACCATAAGGTGGGCAGTTACCTTTAGACTATACAGGGTAGCCATGAGTAAGAACAGACTAGACAGCATTTAACAACAACCAGTTGGGAGGAAGGGAATTGTCTCCCACCCAGGGATAGATAAGAATTACCACTCTCTCCAGCCCAGAGCCAGTACTGCATATGCTGACTGGACACTTCACTGTGTGTATGCTCATGTGCATACAAAGCGGGTGATGGGAGGCAGAGATACAGACAAACAGTGTCTCTAGGTTGCCCTGCAGTCTGTGTGTCTCCAAGGTGACTGGAGGGGTCACATTCAGTCAGGGAAAGAATAGCAATTTGACTGTTTGATTCCAACATGTGTAATAGCAAAGCTTGGCATGGAGCATATGTCCTCTTGTTACTTCTTGGCTATCTGGGTGTAGAAAGGGCTCTTATTGATGTTGTTGCTGTGAAGTGCTGTCGAGTCGATTCCGACCCATAGCGACTCTGTATAGGTTTCCAAGGAGCAGCTGGTGAGCTTGAACCACTGACTTTGCAGTTCAAACGACTTTGCAGTCTGATTCGATAGCCCACAGTGCCACACCAGGACTCCATAGTGGTCATGTGTTAGTGAAATAAGTCACACATACAGAATAACCCAATAAGTCTTCTCAAATAACAACATTGAAAACCAATTGAATTTTTATTTTTACAACTCAACTATGGTACTTAGTCTAAAAGGAGGTCTCGTAGTATAGTGGTTATGAGTTGGGATGCGAACCTCAAGGTCAGCAATTTGAAACGACCAGCTGTTCTGAGGAGAAAGATGAGGTTTTCTGCTCCCATAAAGATTTACAGTCTCAGAAACCCTGTACAGCATTGCTATGAGTCAGAACCAAGTTCATGGTGCGTAACCACCACCATCACTTAGTCTAAAGGAGCCCTGGTAGAGTAGTGGATAATGAGCCAGGCTGCTAACCGCAAGGTAAGTAGTAGTTCAAATCCACCAGTTGCTCCACAGGGAAAAGATGAAAAAAAAAGGAGGGGGTTTGCTCCTGTAAAGATTTATAGTCTCGGAAATCCTATTCAGAGACACTGTGAGTCAGAATGGACTTAGTGGCACAACACCACCACCACTTAATCTAAAAGGAACATTGGTAGCATCGTGGGTTACACATTGGGCTGCTAACTGAAAGGTCAGCAGTTCAAGTCCACCTAGGTGTTCCATGGAAGAAAGATGACGCTTTCCACTCCTGTAAAAATTTGCAACCTCAGAAACCCTATACAGACAGGGTTGCTATGAGTCAGAATCAACTCGATGGTACTCAGCCAATCACTTAGTCTGAATTCCATTATTACAAAGTCTTATCACTACCTTGTTAAATATAGTGACTAAGGGCTTCAAGTAATTTAGGGATTAACCTGGTGTTCAAAAAGAGGAAGGTACCTTCTTGTTTAAGATGAGTACAAAGTAGTCAGATTATCTTTTGCAATAATACGATGACTGTATGTTTCACTAAATAATAATTTTTACAAAAAGTTTATTCTCATGAACTCTGTGAAACTGTTAAGTATGAGAGGAAAACAGTCATTGTAAGCATGTATAATATTTCAGATATAACCTATTGTTGGGTTTCTAAACAACGTCATGTAACATATCCATATTACATGTGCAATTTCAAAGTAAAAGAGGTATTTGAATACATATCTCTCAGATTCAGACTTTCTTCTTTCCTATGGTGTGGCGCTGTGGCTTAATGCGCCAGACTGCGAAGCCGTTTGAACTGCAAGGTTGGAAGTTCAAGCTCACCAGCTGCTCCTTGGAAACCCTATACAGGGTTGCTATGGGTCAGAACTGACTCAACGGCCTTAACAACAACATTGTACCATAGAAGTCCTAGCATGGCACTGTAGAATAAGCACTAGACTGCAAGGTCGATTTGTACCACAAGGTGGCAGTTCAAACTCACCAGCCCCTCCTCAGAAACCCTATACAGGGTCATTATGTGTTGGAAGTGACTCAATGGAACTCAACAACTACAGCATTACTTATTGTTTTTGTTGTTAAGTGCCATTTAATCAGTTCTGACACACAATGACCCTGTATAAGGTTTCCAAGGAGCAGCTGATGAGCTTGAACCACCAACCTTGTGGTTCAAAGTGACTTTGCAGTCCAGCGCATTAGCCCACAGCACCACACCAGGACTCCCTATGTTAGTCTTTAAAAAAAATGAATGCAAGAATTTTATCAAAAAGACATAACACCGTCTATATGCTTAGAGAAAAAAGCTCACAGCTTAAAATTTGTTACCCATCAAAATTGTCTTTCATGGAAAACAAAAAGACAAAACACAGGCTATTCAGATAAATAAAAATCAAAAGATTTTACCTTCAAAAGATCTAGAGTAAAGGAAATTCTGAAGTAGTCTTTCTCAGTTGGGGTTGCATAAACTAATTAAACTCCACAGAAAATGTTTTCAGTTATTAGTTTTTTATTGTGCTTTTCTAGATTCATATCATAGAAGTTAGATACCATGTATGCCTCAGAGCATTGAAGCTTACTTCTCTCAGTGAGAAGATGTTCTAACCAATGTACTGTGAGCAAAGGGAAAATGATCCCAGATGGAAGTTCTGCAATCAAAGAAAAAATGTGGAGCAGAGAAAGAATGCTGACAAATATGTCAGTAAATGTGAACAAACATTAACTGAATAAGAATAGCATTCATGTCTAATTTGAAGTAAAATCAGTATAGACAAAAGCGTTATGTAAGATGAGAAGATTTGATAGCAAAACAAGTGACCTGGTGTGGCGCTGTGGGTTAATGCGCTGGACTGCAAAGCCATTTGAACTGCAAAGCCATTTGAACTGCAAGGTTGGCGGTTCAAGCTCACCAGCTGTTCCTCGGAAACCCTATACAGGGTCACTGTGGGTCACAAATGACGGCACTTAACAACAACAACAACAACAA